CCAGATGATAACACACAATTAGAAATATCCAAGTTGATCAACATTAGCAAAGTTACAATTTTTAAATTTTCCTAGATCAATGTGAAAATAATCTACAATACAAAGAGAAACTATAATATACACATAGCTATTTCTTTAGAGGAAATCACTTAAAAATATGTGCTGTAATACTATCTTAAATGTATTGAAGAGTTTGAAGAGCCTGAGGATAGAAAAAATATTACAAAAACACAGAGGAAATTTCATCTCATATGAGATGAAAATCGTTTTTTCAGTTCATGTCTTACTTATACCTATAGTATCAGTTCTCTTAACACAGTTCCATATAAATAAGATTTCTGAAGAGATATGAAGGAAAAGTACTGTTCAACATCACATTAAGGAAAAAAAAAAAAAAACAACTTACTGAAGCTGCTGGTGCATGGGCAAAGCAATCTGTGGTGGTACATTAATGAATCTTTCACTTAGTAGTAAACCCACGGGCTTAGTATCATCTTTTAGGAGCTTATCCAGTTGTTCAACTACATGCTGTTCACAATTTTTCTCACACCGGCTTAGAATCAGCTCTTTGATTTGTTCAGCACATTGTGTACCCTAGAATCAAAGTGTCCATTTTCTTTACGTTCACACAAGAAAATTATTATTCACACAAGAAAATCTTGATATTGAACTTCAAGAGAATATTCAACAGGTCTATCAACAACTTCCTTAAGTGGTCCCTAAAGCACTGTACAATGTCCCTGAAATTATTTACCAACCCTGAAGCTGAGGGCAAGCAACAGTTCTTAACTGGTAAGAATGCAAGTAGGATCTACAACATCAGTACATTCAGCAGCAAAATCTGAAATCTGCAAAAGATGAAAGTGAAGAAATACAAGAGGATGACAGTCCAGTTGCCCTGGAACTACTTGTCACACCTAATTTTAATTATCTACTCCAATATTAGCTTAATGTTTGACCTTCAGCAAGTTATGCTGGACTAGATCCAAAAGAAAAAAAAATCAGAATACTGAATCAACTGTCTAGGCTTGTTATACAAGGCAGAAAAGCAGAACAAAGCCTCACTTACGACAGCCTAGAAGTTAATCAGGAATACCAACCTTCCTTTCAGTTAAGTTTAAGAAGCTTATAAAACCAAAGACTTCATCATCGTCGTCATCATCATCACTGCTGTCTTCTTGAACTTCTGCTTGCTGTTTAATAAAGAAAAAGCAACAATTCATATTGACATTCTATTTCCACTCCCAGCAGCAAAAAGCGTTCTTCTTTCTAGAAGATGCTCTGCAGATGACAACCATGTAGGTAATCTGTACCAACACACAACCTACAAATTCTGGTTATGGTTATGAAAGTGCCACATCATGGAATGGCTCTGTGTATTTAGAGCCAGCTATCTAGAGCAAGGTCATGCATCTTCTACAGCAGGATCTTTTGAAAGGCACTAAAATTTGATAGCTCATATTTAATATGCAGCTTACTGGTATAAGGGATAGCACTACCTTAAACAAAACATTTTTTTTTCAGTTTCTAATGCAGAGGAATAAACCTACAAAGCCTTAAAAAAAGAACACAGAATAGAGCTTTAATAAGAAGGGCAAGAAAAAGGTCAACAACACATTAAGAAACTTGGCCAAGGAATAGGGGATCATGCAGTTGTAACATAAGGATTATATTAACCTTGGGCAGAAAAACTGGTGGCACGAGAAAAGGAAAAGCATAGCAATGACACAATGCAACCAGGTACCATGGCATAACTGTGTCCTGCAACCACAGCTTGTCTGGGTTTGAAAGGAACAGCACCACGAGATCCCAAGCAGTACAGTACTGAACAGCTTCCTTGGCCAGCAATAACTCAAGAGTCTCTGCAGAGTGCCCCACTGACAGAGGAAAAGGAATTCAGGGCTTGCTTCAGGGTCCTTTCCTACACCCAAAGAATTCTGCAGACTACTAAGGAAACCACAAGAAGAAATTGCACAGCGGATATTTTTGGTGTATACTTCTGTATATCCTGAGAACGTAGGGGAATTTTAAGATCCTATTTCTTACTATAACAGAGATACTTCAATGTTATGACTCTACCACACCAAAACTCATTAAGAAAACTGAAGAGACTTCTGTATGCGAGAAGAAAGCAATCAAAAGAGTAAATCAAATTCCTTGCTTGATTGAAACTAGACACAGAAAATCTCACCTCCCATAGAACAATTATTCTCAAAGCAAGAAAGCAACCAAATTACAAACAATATTAAAGACGGGAGCCACTTCTGGAAGTGTGTTATTTTATTTCAAAGTAAAAGGTATTGTGCCTAATTTACAAAAGTGATTTCTATCTTACCTTGATAATACTTCCAATATGATTCTGTTGTATTAATATATCCGTTAACTCAGCAGTGTTAACAGGAGCTTTGAGAAACAACTGGAAAATAAGAAACAAGTATTAAGATGTTTTAGACCTGGTATTATATTATGGGCCACTCAGCAGAAAATAAAGTCAGAAATTTCTCTAAGTTGTTATGCAATGGTGTGCACCTTCTTTTAATTTCCATTTAGCGGGGTTTGTTTATTCCTACAATGTGATACCATAAAGACCAAAAAGCAGCTTCTTAAAAGCGCTTGCTCCTTGACTCTTCACAAGCTGGCATTTTGTGTCTTCAGTTTGGTACAATCTGAGTAGTTGCTAGGCTTAAATTTACAAGAACAAGAAGAGCCAACAGAAGACTGGATGCTGCCACACTGAACACACACATTTAGAGCCTGTAATTTATAAAAGGCACTCCAAAAAGATGATTAACACTGAGTGAGGTTTTCCAGGTGGCAACTAACATAATGAAGAAGGAAGGATTGTACACACTTTGGCCGACGGTTCATTGGGTAAAGTTCTTGAAACTGTGGTTTACTACACATTTAGTAAAATGGGGGTGTATTTAATTTCACTAGCACGGTATAACTATGAACCCATAGAAGTAATGTGAACCAACAGCTGTGTGCAACTCTACTACTGAAACCAAAGTACCTGTTGAAGTAACTTCTTTATCCCGCTGTAGTCATTGTCGGATATTGAATGTGCTTCAAATTCAATATTCACTTCCTACAAAGAAGAAAAACGCAGAAAATCAAACATACTTGGCAGGAAGCTCTATCAAAACAAAGCTAGATCGTAGGAACTTGAAGAAACTTGAAGTAGTCAACATCAGAAATTGATCTTATTTCCATCTTTTGGTAACATCAGCCATTTTACACTTTATCATTTTTCTGTATTCTTCAGAGCACACCTGTGAAAGAAACTTTTTAAAATTAACTTTAAATTGCATTGTAAACAAACCTGTAATGCTTTGTTCCTGCAATCTGGTTCCCATAATTATGCTTATTATAACCATGTCGACTCTTAGTGTAAAGAAGTTTGACCCAGTCATTTAAAAATTTTAAAACTGCAGGATTGGAGCACAATGATTTGGCTAAAGATGAACTTTTCTGCAGACATTTAGACTATTACAACCAAAATCATGCTGCTGCTATTTCCTCTAATACCAATGGAATCATTATCCCTCTCTGGAAGGCTGTTTAGTAGACACACAATGAGATTCAGTCAGGGCAAAACAAGAACATGAACTGTGCCTTCTTCCAAAAGGAACGTGGTGCATCCACCAAACGTTCTCCTGGTATTCTGTATTACTAGTACTGCCTGTCAAATCTGTATTGCCTACTCGTATTTCTGTGAATCACTGTTCAAGATCATCCGAACTGACTTTGCTATTTAATTGTGGGGTTTCATTCCACTTTCTGAGCGATTCAAACAACCGAGCCTTACTTCTTCACCCTTTAAGACTCATAACTCTCTCTGATCCCAAATCAAGGTCATGGACTAGACTGCCTGCTGGGAGAACAACCTTAACAGCATACTTATAATGCAGAAAGCAGGTATACAACTGATTTTGAAATGAAAATCAGGAGACTCACTGTCACATATATTCTGCTATAGTCTAGCACGGGTACATGACACACAGAAAACATCCTCAAAGGCCCACTCAAACAGTGCTCTGAGGCTCAAGACACTTCATCCACAAACACCACCGTATAAACCACCGTTCTACCAACATTATGTAGGAAAGCTACATAACACACTTAAAAAATGTGTAAGGTCAAACTAAGTCAATACCCATTTTATGTGGCATGTGTCTCTAGCAAGTGGTAAATGTGCTTTTTTGTCACATTAATGTGACTGATACTAACTTTCTATTGTGACAGCTTAAAAAAAAAGTATTTTATTTAAGCCCTATAAAAATGAGAAATTGCCTGATCACCCTGAACCTGTAATAATGTTCAAAGCTGGGACCCAATCTCCCAGAAAGGAGCCCCCTGCCCAGTGCTGCGTTCCCTGTTTGTGCAGGTACAAAACCAGAGCTCAGGGAGGAAATCAACACTAGTATTGGTGCCTGGTGCGGGTCTTTTTTTCTCTAAACACACCGAAATTAACGCAAATCGGCGCACACGTGTGCTGAAGGCACTCCTTGGAAGCAGCTGGCAGTGGCTCCATGCAGGAGCTCGTTTAGTAGCAGCACCACTCGCTGCAGCCCCAGCGAGCACAGGGGTGTCCTCAGCGGTACCTACAGCCTCCTTCTATCGCGACAGACCCCCCTGCGACGACAATCGCCCACCTGGAAGCGCAAACCAAACACTCCCGGAGAGAGGCAAGGCTTACACGCTAACCACGAACCGGGGGGCGAGGCGCTGCCCTGTCCCCCCCCGAGGTACCCGGGCGCCACTCACCTCCTCCACCCGCTCGTCCTCCGAGCCCGAGCCGCCCGAGGACTCGGTCTCGGAGCCCGATTCGGACTCGGAGCCCGGCTCCGGGGCTGGCGGCTGGGCCCGGGCCCGGCGCTTGGGCGGCGTGGCCATGGCGGGGCGGCGCAGGCGCTGCGGGGCCGGAAGGCGGCGGGCGGTGCTCGGGATGGGGCTGGCTGAGGTGGGACGGGGACGGGGATGGTGTGGGGGGGGGGGGTGTGGGGAGATTAGCGGGGTTTGGCTCGCTTTGGGAGGGATTTGGGGCTCCCCTGCGTGCTGCTGGGGTTGTGTGAGCACAGGGGAGCGCTTCAGGAAGCCCTGGGGTGTGTTTAGGAGGAGCCCGAGCTCTGCTGAGGCGCCTAAAATTGTCCTGTAAATGTGTCCTCGTCACCCCTCCATGCCAGCCACCTCCATGCCAGCCTGCTCCTGGCAGGTGCAGGGGGTGTGGGAAGGGGTCTGGGGCCAGAAAGCAGGCCTTGGTACTTGTGGTAAAGAAATTTCTAAAGAAATGCCTGAGCACAGAATTGGAGGAAGCAAGTGCTTCCTGCTTGCGTAGAGGTTAATTCCTGGGCTAGCTAGGGGTAATGCTGGGCAAACAAACAGCAAAGGTAATAAATTGAAGCGTAAACACCATGGAAATACAGTCTTCCTAAACAAAAATTGAAAATGCAGTGAAATCCTTAGCACTAAAAGTATAAAAGTGGCTGTTAACGTTTGAACCTCTTTAATGCAGCTCATGTTCCACGTAGGACTTTGGGTCTAGTTGATGGAAGTGGATGAAGCCGTTTGAAGAGGACGGGGATGCTGCTGACCAGAAGCACAAGGCCTGAGGTATGATTTTGGCTTTGTGTGCACAATCTGCACAGGTCAGAATTTGTGTGAGCCTTTGAGGTGTCCGTGGTGGGCGCTTCTGGTTTAGTTGTTGATGTTTTGGTGTGGTGGGGGTGTTGAGAGCTGTATTTGCTCTGGAGCAATGCCAAAATACAAATGCTGATCCATAGGGAGAGAATTCAGTGTGGGGAAAGACAGTACAAGTGCCTCAGTGGGGCTGCGTGCAATATATAACTGCATACAGTTCTCTGTTGTATGTTTGAAACCGTATCAGTCAGGAATCATGCTAATTATCACCACTACTCCTGGTAAAAATCCATGATGTAGTGGGAAGGCTGAGTTCTTTACAGCTCCCCTGGACTGGCATATCAGGGAACCAGTTTTGTGGTTGGGTTTTGTGATATAGACACCTAAATAGCAGAAATTATTCTTTTTTTGTTTGCATTTAATGATATATGTATATTACGTTAACTAGGACTTAGTAGATTTTGGAAACATGATTCATAGTAGCCTCACAAGTAATCCTTTTTACTTCTCTGATTATTAAACCCAGCTAACTTCTGTAGAAGAATATTGGTAATAAATATGTAGTATCAAAAACCCTAACTCAAGGTTTTTCCAAGTTTTTTTTGTTTTTTTTTTAACATGTCAAGGGTGTCTCGAAATTCATCTCCATTTAAGCTTAGGATGGAACAGACAATTCCTTCTACACTTGGCAATCAAACCTTATTGTGTGGCCCATACAGTTTCTTACAATCAAAGCAGGGTTAGAGAGTTCAAGATACTTTGCAGCACTGGGTGTCACCCAGAAGCAGAAACAAAAGGACCCATTTATTTCTTTTTACAGGCTGTCCTCTGTCCTAAAGCTAGTTTAGTTAATTTGGGGAGAGCTTTTCAAGTGAAAATAACCTGCAGAGTTCTACTCTGTAGCATGGCTTTACATTTTAAGAAATGGCAAAACTGTTCTAATAGGACAGAATATTTTTCTAAGGGAGCAGGGACTTGGAGATAACACAGCTAATAATCAGCTCTGTATTTTAACTGAAGGCACAGTGATGTTGAATTTTACTGTTCAATGCTGTGAATGGGAAGCATTTCAATGATGTCTGTAAGCATTAATAGTGCCCTGAATGCACAATGTGACCCAAAAGTACCCTTCTTCTAAATTAAGTAATGTGGACTAAGAGAAATAGCACCAAACTACTTTGAGCCTTCAGTCACAAAGAAATGCCTCAGAAGTTCAGATCACTCTTCTGGTTTCTTATCAGAGCTAACTGAGTGGTTCCCTAACTTCAGACTGGCCAATACAAGCGTTTATCATCTTTTGTGTGTGCATTTGCTCAAGACAGAAAATCTGTTGTCCTTTTATTAGCTGTTTGCAAGCCTAATGGGTTTTAAATGGTATTTTCTTAACATTTGAAAAGCAATCATTGCAGCGTTGTTATTGGCACACAAGCAAACACTGTGCTTGTTTCCTGAGCCAAAAGTGGGAGGCCAGCATCATCCTATAAACTTGGCAGTGTAAAACTTACTAAGGTTATTCATACACATTCTCATTTCCAGATGTAAACTGGGCACCCTTTGACTCTGCAAAGTCCATGCATTGCTCTAAGTAGAAACTTTTTATGGTTGTTTAGAAGTTTATGCATTCCTCTCAATATACCCATTTCATTTATTATTATATTTAATCAAAATAGAAGATCTCTAAAACATATTTTCAGCAATTCATAAAAACTTGCATGTAATTTTTTTTCCCCATAAAATCATCCAGCTTGTGATGCTTGCTCCCTAGTGGAGTTTTAACCTCACCCTAGAAATGTATATTGACGTATTTTGGTTTGAAACTGACCAGGTGCGTTTGTCCCTCTTAGATATCTGTTCAGCCTTCTCTCCTGCCTGCCTGTTAAGACATCACTTTACCTGGATTCACAGCGATGTGAGCAGTGTTGGGACACAGCTGGTAAGAAAATGGGTTTGGGTGGGTTGTGGCCCTAGTGCTGGGTGTGCCAGCCCTGCTTTTGGGGATGGGTGTGTTCCACTGTTTTCTGTGTGGTCACACCTGCTACCAAATGTGTGTAACCTGTCTGAACTGCTTGGGCAAGAAGAACAGGATGGCCTGGGAGGCTTATGGCTGCTGAAAAGGACACTGATTTTTCAGCAGTAATACCAGAAGCTCTCAGGGGGTACCTGCTGATCAAAACAAATGTTATTCATGACTCTACAAATTTACAGATTCCCTAGTTCTAATTCAGTCTTCTATTGGGCACTTGCAGCCCCTTTTTGGTGTCAATAAACAAGCTGCCTTCTGGCAGAATTGAAAATAAGCCAGTGGCTTCTAGCAGCCTTCTAGTGGTTGTGCAGTCTTGCTCCTTTTATAAATAAGCCAGATGGCTGAGTCTAAAAGGCAGTTGTATGATTTCTTTGTAGAGCAGACAGCTAGGTAATTGCACCTTGCAGTAGTAGTTCATGATATTTTGTAATTATTCTTTGGTTTCAGTATATGTTTTCTATCTGGGGTCTAAGTGAAATAATTTGATTATTGTAACTCACCTTGTTAAGCATGGATGTTTACTGTGGTAAGTAATGAATAATAAGAAATGGGTAATAAGGCATAGATGGGAAGTTAATTCATTTCTAACTAAAGAAATAATCAGAGCTCTGCTTTCCCCAGGTGTACCTGAATAAACTCTCATGTCATCTGGGGTTTTTATTATAATACCTTCGGAAATCATTCTTTCCAAAAAGACTTACTTAATCTTATCCTTCCAAAGTGCACAATATTTTTATTTTTTTCTGTACATCTACATTTTGATGACTTCATAACATTGCTAAACACTAAATATTTAGCAATGTATACTTTGGAAATAGGAAGGTTGGGCTGGAGTAAGAACTTTGAATGTAGAAACAGAATTCCATGGTGCTATTAGACTTTAATAGTACTTGTAGGTGTATGGTGCTTAGAGCCTAAGCACTGCAGCTGGAGTTGTAGTGAAGATTGTTAGTAACTTCAGTATCACAACAATCAGGGCTACAAAAAGCTGCCTGCAAACTCTGTTCACAAGCATGTTGGATTTTTTTTTTTTTAAATACAGGCTATTACAATCTTAGTGACTGAGGAAAAGCCACTTAGGGCTACTTAGTTAGGCTTAGTAGCAACTGGATACTCAGAAGTGTTTGGGAATCTAAATCTTGAAAGCCATGGGATCTATTTTAGCATTTGCTATAGGTTGAAATCGGTGAGAATTGTACTTTTTGAGAATATGACCTCTTCCTCCCCTCCTCCCCGAGTCCTTGTTTCTTTTTCTGTGTGTATTTCTAATGCTGCCACTGACTTCACTGGGTATTTCAGAACTGCAGAGCCCAAATGGTTCCCATCATGCTAGTTTTGAGTACTGGAAGTCTTATAGAAGTGGGCTCTTCCATGTCTAATAATAAGGTGCATGGAATTAAACTCTTCAATTATGAAACGACATTAACCTAGGTTAAAAAAAAAAAAAAAAGAAATTTAAAATCCACAACATGACCGTACTATGACAGTCAGGTACCGAGTTGCTGGAGGTAGTTTGCTTTAGATGCCCTTTCACAACCTGCATTTTGCAGTGATTCTGGCTGTAGAGGGATGTGTGATGCCAGGCTTGTTACTTGTACCCAATCTGTCTTAAGCTGCCTTTTCAGAGAAAAGTGTTTAAATATCCTTTCAGAGACAAAAATTTGTCGAAACAGGTGGTCTTGGTCTTCGAAGTCCTGAGGATTTCAATGCATCTCATGCACATGAACCAAATTTAAGACGTTCTTTACGTCTGAATACTTGTACTTGCTCTTCTTAAAGGGAATTAGCAGCAACATAATGTAAGTAATTAAGGTAAATGTGCAATTAGAGAATAGATTTGTTTGTTTCTATTAGTCCATTTGTTTACTTAGATGCTTGTTGGATTTTCCTAAGGGTTGTAAACCATCACTGAATTCAGCACCAGAGTCAAATTTTAAACTGAGAACCTTCTTGCATTTTTCCGATCTTCCATTTTAATGGCAGAACATATTTTTTTTAAGTCTTGCTTTGTTTACTACAGATGTATCAAAAAAGGCATATGAATAATATGTACATTATATTCAGATATGTAAATGTGTGTGTATATATATATGCTTGTTTGCATTAAAAAAAGTGAAATGCTGTCCTGCACATGCTTGCCCCCATGAAAAGGGTGAGAGACCAAGTCATCCAGTTATATCACTTGAACACGCAAACTCCCTACGAGGAGCATAGGGTTGAAACTGGCACAGAAAAGGATAGAATAGAACAGAATATGATAGGATAATGTTGTTACAGATAGGAGCGTATTATATTGCTGAATGTGACTGTATTGTAAGGGTTGTTTCTTCCTTTGCAAAATATTTTCTTTCAAAATTCATTTTCCTTGATGACTTTCATTGTAGTTTCTCCCTTAAGCGGTGTTATCTAAAGCCAGCATGTTATTTTCTGGTCTTATCAGGGTGGATATTCATTCCCAGAGAATGTACATTAACTGCTTACTCATTGTATAGACAGCAGTGCAAGTGTTAGCAGCCCAGTTTCTTCTGAAGCTGAGCTATTAAAGTTGCTCTAGATCTAATTTAGATTTTTTTATTGTATTTCAGAGTTCTTTTGCAATAATTTGGTAAACAATGAAGGTTCTGTTACTGAAGGACCCCAAAGACAAAGATTCAGGACCAGATCCGTATGTTAAAGTGAGTAAGCTTAATAAAAGTAAACAGTTGTGTCATTTCACTATTGTATGTTATCATTCGGTTTGTTAAGATAAATGAATCTAATTTTTCAAGTGAAAAAGCTGCTTAAGCAAAATTAGGAGTGCATGTCTGAAATTACAGTATCTTCTAAGAAAAAACATGCTAGCAAATTGGCTGTTAGGAAAAAAACTACTTCAGTTATGGGAAACTGATACTGAATTCAGCAATAAAATTTGCAGCACAATACTGATATTAAGACTGATTAATACTGGTATCATTCCAATTAATATTGGTTACATTGGTGTGATAGTTCTATGATTACAAAAAAATTGGTGATCTTAATCAGAAATGTAATGGGCAATGGAGGCTACATGTTGTTGCCCTTTCTGCTGTAGACTTCATGGATGGGAGTAGTTTTCGCTTGTGAAAACAGTTCTATTGACTTCAAGGAATTACAGAGATGTTCAAGAATATTGGCAGGGTTAGTTGATTATTCCTCACTTAGGGAGTTCAGGGCTATGTGCTGATTCCTGCTGTAACTACACAGTAGGAGACCTTAGTTTCACAGCTGTTTGTTCAGAATCATGCTGTAATATTAAATCTACTAATGTAGATTCACTAATAAAAACAAATCAGATACCATTGTATTTCAGTTTAGGAAAAAATACTTCTGCTGACCTAATCAATTCTTTGAAAAAATATTTAAAATGTAGAAACTTAAAGAACTGTACATCTTTTTTTTCCAAAGGAACTAGGATTATATGGACTTGAAGCAACTTTGATTCCAGTTCTGTCATTTGAATTTGTATCTCTTGAAAGCTTATTTGAAAAGGTAAGTTTTGAGTTATTTGGGTTGTCTTATTTAGACAGAGTTTAGGGCATAATTGCCAAGGTGCAGTATTTTACCTTGATTTAATACTACTGCTGCCCGTTTAGTACCTCTTTATTTTTCTACAAAATATTGTACCCAACAACAAGTATGTTGTTGATATTTGATAAAGAAATGAGTTAGAATAGCAAGGATAGATTTTCACAGGTGGTGTAGCATTTTGTCACAGTGAAAAAGTAGTTTGTGACAACTAAAACTTACCTGAGGTTCACCCTTAACGTTGTGCTGAAGTTGTGTACTGCATCTCCTATGTGCATGGAATAAAACTGTATAATTGCTGATTTCTTTGCTTAAAGTTTTTATTTCATTTTAATATGTTGAAAAGGTTTTCTGAGAGATGTTACCTTTACTGAGAATCTCCATCAGCATTTAATTCTGTTAGGTGTTTAAATGCATACTGTGATACATTCACAAGTGACCCCTGAACACTTTTCTGTTTTTGTACTGATCTTTGAGAGCATGTTGGTGACCTTAACTGTTTTTTGAGTGGGCAGAGGGCAAGAAACAAGGAGCCGGCTGGGCAGTACCACAGTATTACTGCTTGGGAAAGTAGCTGACTCTTCCTGTGTGAATTTGGAATACTTCCCATGTTGTTCACCTATCCCTAAGCTCATTTCAGTGACAGGGAGCCTTACCTGTTCCTACTGATTTTTCAGTGTTAATATCACACAGGAAATACTCAATATTTGTATACATTTATCTTGTAAATGTCCTGCTACTGGTAGTAATCAAATATTTGCCTGTTTCAGATATTTATTGAAGCTGCTTTGTTGTTCACAAGATTATAAAGAATTGATCAACTTATATTTTTAAAATGTATTTATTCATTTTTACTTCTTGTATCTGCTGTTTATAAATAGCTCTCTCATCCAGAATCTTATGGGGGCCTAGTTTTCACTAGTCCAAGAGCATTAGAAGCCATCAAGATATGTTTGAAAGAGAATAGTAAAAGTGAAGGTAAGTGCTTATTTATATTCCTTGTTCTTTCTGTTTCAGTATTTTGTGAAGTTTGTCATTTTATTTCACCCATCAGAAGCTGTTTGGAGTACTCCTTTTGGAAAAGAAAATACCCTATAGCTCTTTTGACATCATAAAGGCCTCATACTAAATAGAGCTTTTAAGGGATTGAATGTTGGGTTTTCTGCACTTACACTGCTGTTAGAGATGAAAGGATAAAGCTTTTGGTGTAAATTACTAATTAGCGTGTGCTAGCTTAGCCTCAATCTGTTGTGGTTATCTTTGAAGCTACAAAGAGTTATACACAAACTCATGGATGAGCAGTATTTTGCTGCAGTGCCTGGTTTTGCTTACTAAACAGTACCCTCCCTTTTAAGGGAGGTGCTTGTTACAGAAACCAAACACTGCTGCTACTTGTGTAATTCATTTGAAATCTTACAGAAAAAGCTATTTCTGTGTTGCATATAAAACTTCTAAATTGATTTAAACATTAGCTAAAAAGCAGTAAAGAAATGGTAGTATGTAGAAACCAACATGTCAGTTGTGAGGAAGAATCCTGCAGAGTGCTAAATACAAATTGGCATACCAATGAGAATACATTAAAAGTTCATTTTGTACATCCCCAGATTTGCTGGAACATGTATTGATGTATTAGTATTCTGCTGTACTTGTATTTGGGCTTCTGTTTAAATCTATACATTACACATGTGCTTAAACTTAATGTTTTACAGCCTGGTCAAAATCTCTTAAACAAAGATGGAATACCAAACCCGCATATGTGGTAGGAAAAGCTACAGCTTCTCTAGGTAAGCTGGAAGTTGAATTAAGAAGTCAAATCTGTTTAAGTACAATTTTTGGAGTATGGCAGCTATTCAAGGGGGTTCAGAAAAATACAGGTAAGTTTCACAAATTGATAGTTTGAAAAATAGATAATGTGTCTACAGGTAAGCACGTACAGATCACCATCTGGTCTCCTAGTACCTTTCTTGTAATTTGATGGTAACTACTCCAAAAATTTGGTCAAAAAAACCTGTTCTTAATTCCCAGATTATTTTTTATTATTCTCAGAAATGAAATTGGGCGACAGGAATTACAGCATAATTGTCTGAGATAGAAGGAAATTTTTGATACTTATCTTTCCTTCTGTTTCATTTGCCAAACAGAAGTCACCAGTATGTAATCCACTGACTTCAGTGGGCTGGCTGCTTTATTTGCCTTCACACTGGTTTTAATCTGATGCAATATAAACTTGATGCGCACGAATAAAAATTCAGTGTAGCTTTTAGTTTGTGTGAGACTTTCTTGTTGTAAAATTGCATTGAGGCTGTACCTCCCTGCTGAGCCACACAGGAAACATCACAAAAAACTATCATTTGAGAATTTTAAGTCTTTGTTTTTCTGCCTCTAGCCCAAAAATAATTTGGGTAAGTACTGGCTAACTTCATAAGAAGAGTTCTTGCAGGCAGGCTGCTGACAACACTGGATCATATAATGGTGACTCCTAGCAACCATCATGAATCAATCAAGTCTAAGCCAGATCAGTTAACTTGTCAGGGATTCATATCATGCCTATTAACTTGCTTAAATAACAGCAGTGTTAAACTCTGTAGCAAAGGCAGAAATCCCACCGGAAAAATCTCAGAAAACAGCAATAGCCTCACTGGGAAGTGAGCTGCAACCAAACCATGTCAGGAACTGAAGCCCATTCAGCATGGGCAGGCAGTGGTTTTTTTTGTTTGTTTTTTTTTAACCACTTTAGGTATGAGAGTTAAACTTTCCAAAACAGCCTTGCTATCCCCAGAATTCTTCTGTATTCTTCATATGTGTCTCTAGAGACAAAATTGAATCTTTCATAGCATGTTACTTGTTCAAATGCTCAGATTTTTTGTTTTCAAAGTATTTGTGTGCTTAGATCAAATTAGGTCTCCCTTTCCAACCCGCATGTTTCTGTGACTGTGAGTCTGAATTACTCTTATTGAATTGTGTTGCTGTTGTTTTTGCTGCTTTTGGTTATAGTGGAAGAAATTGGTCTTTCCCCACAAGGAGAAAAGACTGGAAATGCTGAGAAATTAGCTGAATATATTTGCTCAAGTAAGTATCTGAAATCCTCTACTTAAACTATGCACGTGAGCTTAATTTATTACATACAAAGTCAGGTGTACCTTGAAGCAGAGAAGTAGGTACTACATAATTCATCATATGTGGAGTCTTTGAGTTCAGCTTCTGGGGAATACTAGTGTTAACTCTAAAAGATAATAAACAAGATTTTGAAATCCCTATTAAAAATACTAATTTACATGAAATCTTAGACTCCATAATTGAATACTATAAGACCCAGTAGACAAAGTGCTTTTTTAACGAATGGTCAGAGCTGTAATGATTTGAAGTTGCTGCTTAATCATGATTTAAATGATTCTGACTGTAGGTGTGCTGATTCTCTGAACTTTGAATGACCTGACTTTCTTTGCTTCAAACCAGCTGATGCTGGGCATTTTTCACCAAGCCACATTTTTCACAAAGTAGACAAGGGGAACTCCTTTTCTCAGAATGAACATGCAGTTTCAGAGACAGCTAGTTTTTAGCACCAAAGGAGAGGGGTTCTGGAGTGGTTTTGAAGAAGCAGCAGCTTCTGATAGCTGCTAGTGGGAAAGCAAATTATATGGTTTACAGCCTTTCACATAGAATATCTTGAGCAGAGGACAGTTTCTTACAAGAACACTGGCGAACTATAGAAATTAACATGCTGCTTTAGCATTTTCATTATCCTTACAAAAATGCCTTAAAAAATCCTTAAATCTTTTATTATAAATCCTTAAAAATCCTAGAATACTGCAACATTTAATTAAACTGTGTTAGAGTTGAGTGTCTTCACTCAACCACTTTTCTCATGTAGAAATGTGATCTCACTAGGCTATTTGATTTCATCTGAATTTTCCCTAGATTCAAAACGTTCTTTGTTGGCTTTCAGAGCCCTAATATTCATTTTGTTAGATTATATGTAGTACTGAAAAACTTTCCAAAATAATTAACTCATGTGAGAGCCCTAAAATCACCAAATTACTGAGAATCTCATATAATAACAGTGCTATTTCATTCTTCCCAAGCCTGGTGTTGGCATTCCCCATCATTATTATGTTTTCCCTTTCCTGTGAGTGCACTCAGGGTGTACAGAGTTAGGACGGCTGCAGGAATAGAGGTGTAACCCAAGAGACATGTATGAATAGCATTATCTGGTAGCATATTTTTTAAGCAGAATTTTTCTCCTCTGATAACTTATTAGAAACATAGAAGTCCTGTGAAAACTGCATCCCAGGTGTCATATTCTACAAGAGAGAAGTTATAAACAGGACCAGAAAAGTCCTCCTTACAAAATAACCAGGGGAATTTCATGTGTAGGCAGTGCAACAATAATTAAATCTGTTCTAATCTTAAGAAGTAAAGGATAAGAGGACGTGAGGATACCCACTTCCACTATAGTGTTGGAAGTAGAACCATTCTTCCTTGGGGAAGTAAGAAAATACTTTCAGATAGACTGAAACTTTCCAGCAAAGTATTTCTGTCCTCTTCTTTGACTGCCTGAATATTCTTTTATAGAGAGTGCTGTCATGTACAAAGTGGGACTGAAGTTTTAAATATAAGAATTGGGGAAGATTGCTTCTCTGAGGGAAAAGAGATAAATTGTGCAGTACTTGTTTTTCTTTGTAGAATTTCAAGGGGAATAGAAATGTACTTTATCTTTAAGATCTTTTTAGACAATGTATTCATATTATAGTTATGGAATATTTTTTAATTTACATGCTAAGTAGCTCTGTCCTCTGAATTGTGGATGCAGTTGCACTGCAAATGTTTTCAGCTATTTTAGGGCTGTGTCTGGTGAAACATACAGCATTTGCAGCAGTGTTCAATATTTGATACCTTTTAAAATGTATTAAATCTATCACGTTTGTTCTCTATTAAAAATGTTAGTTAACTGTTTTTGTTCCTATATTTACAGGAGAGAAGGGTAATTCATCATGCCTGCTTTTTCCTTGTGGAGCCCTGAAAAGAGAAGTACTTCCTACAGCACTTAAGGAAAAAGGTTTAACATCCATTAAAGGCTCATTAAATTAGTCAGTTATGAGAGAATTTGTATCTAGAGATTTTGAACCAAATTTGAATAAGTAAAAATTAAGTTTTCTATTATGTTATATAGAGGATGGGAGTAAAAACTGAGGTTGGAGTGCTGTCCACAGTGCTGGGACTGAGCTGTAGTATGGCTTGAGCAAGGTTCTTTGCCTTAGTTCATCTTCCTTCTGACAGAAGGAAAAAGACTTATTCACAGAAATGTTGCAGGACTTGCTACTTTTTCCTAACATGCATCAAGGTCTTCAGGTTACTAAAGCTTTGTGTCTGCTATAATTGATAGCAGAAATAATTAGGAATCCTTCACACATTTTTTTCTGTATCTTTTTAATCTTTTTAGCCTGAAATTTAAGTGCAATTAGTATATTAGTCTTTTACTGAAATAATAGAAATTAATGAAATACTACTTAGTTATGCACATCTATTCTGATTGCAGGCATACCTCTGGAAAGCCTTACTGTATATCAAACAACGGAACACACCAATCTCCAGGAATCACTGAGCAGTTATTTCTCACAACAGGTATTGGATGCTGATGTATCCTTTCACACATTGTCTAACTTCCAGAAGATAAGTAAACTTCAGAATCACTGAGAAATAATGGCATAAAAAATTACGTATCCACTTTCATCCTTTGAGCTGGATGACTGTTTTTTAGATAACAATGTCAGAAATTACATTTAGTGAAGTTGCTTTTTGAACAGGATTTTTAAATTATTATTGTTACTCTGATATTTCTGGACAGCTTTGTAACTTTGTAGGGCGGAAAACTACTGTTGGTTTTTGATTCATAAGATAAAGCCCTGTTCCTTCTCTGATTATCCAGTTTATTAACATGGATCTAATTGAAGTGTTAGAATTCCAAGCTGTTGACAAACACTGAGTTACATTTGCTAGAATTTTCATTATTTTTCTCCTTTGAAAACCGTCAAATGTCACTAAGCAAGGATCATTACATAGTAAAAGATTTGAAGCTAGTAATAATTGGCTTTATTTTGCCAGATTGGCTTTTTGAATTTTCCATTTGTAAGAGTCTACATTATATTTAGGATTAATTTTATTCAAAATGCAGCCTTTCCTTCTTGGAGAAACTTGGCCTGCCTGAGCGTGTTGCACCTCTTTTTAAAAATCTATGCATTAATGTCTTGTTAAATTACATATTGATTTTAAAGTCCTTTTTCAAGAGGTCCTAAGAGGCCATGGCATGGGCTGTCTAGCTGATACATTGCAACATCCTGCTATTCCTAGGTGGATATTACAATTCTAATCCCCATGGAACTTAGTTTATACCAGTTATAAAGTGAGTCAGTAGTAAATACATATTCTGTAGCTTCCTGAATTCTTCTTATGGAACTCCTTACTTGCTGCAATTATATGTTAGTTTCAGTGTGAAGCTATTAAAATGTGTTTCTCATGAGCTTTTTGGTTGTCATTAACTGATGATATTGTGGTTATATAGTGCCTGGATAGCTGATACAATATGACAAGTATTTAGCACTTTGAGACAATGAACAGGGCTGTGTTGAACTATCATTCTCTTCTCTATGAGCTAAGGCGAGCTTCCAAGTCATGCACCGTAAAATAACAGCAGATGTAGAGCTAGCATAGCCTTCTAGCCAAACAGAAAATCATGATGAAGAAGGTGTCTGCTTCGGGTCTGCAGGTCGGGAGCTTGGGACCTTCGTGCCAGACAGAATTTTGCAGAATTTTCTCTTGGCTACAGAATGTTCCTGCTATCTTAAGGCAGCCTTGTTCTGGGAGAGAAAGCCCTCCCGGTGCTGTGCAGTCTTAAGCCAGCACCTCATCTTTGTCACAGCATCTCTGGGTGGGCAGAACTTAGGATAAACAACATGAGCTGGGAAACAGGGAAAATATCCAGAACTGAGACTGTGAATGGATTTAGGGAAATAAATTGTCAAGCTTATTTTTCTAAACAGGAAAATGAGTATGGCTGCAGAAAAAAAATCAGTGCTTTTATCACCAGTTTGTGTGACAAAGTATTCAATTAAAGATGCACCTGGATTTCAGCTGACTATCTGCACCACAGGAAACCCTCTTTGTTGGTTTAACATCTGTTTCTCATCAACAATGAAAATTCATCTCTGTATAGAGACAGAGGCTTTTATGGAAGTGTACTGATATTATGCTGGAAATGTGAGAAATCTGTGCTAACCTGTGGTTAATTTTACTCAGGGAATCCCAGCAAGTATTGTGTTCTTCAGTCCATCTGGTGTCAAGTTTTGCCTCCAGCACATTCAGAAGCTATCTGGGGATTTTATCAACCATGTGAAGGTACTTTTTCTTTTCAAATGGTGGTGAAATACAGTAGGGTATAAGCTTAGGTTGGGAGACTGAAGGAGAGGGAAGCTGTTACACCCTTTACAAACCTCTGTTTTCTACCAAGAGTGCCTTAGACCAAAAAAAAAAAAAAGAGAAAAATACGAAGTCTGGAATGGGTAGGACTGTAAGAGTAGTCTATAGCAATCTATGCAAGTTAAATAGAGGTTAAGAGTGCAAATTGTCTGTAGAGAAGCAGCAGTTTACCTAGGTGAAGATTGCAGAACACAAAATTTGGGAATTGTTTGAAAACTGTTTTGTGTTGAGAGTGTGGAGGACAATGCTCTGTGTTTGTTCACAATACAAAACCAGCCATCATAAAATAAGCACATGGAATATATGAATGCATTATTTCTTGAAAGTGTTCAGATATCTGTGTTAAATGTGAAGTAACGATCTGAAAACTCACAGAATAATTCACTTCGGGGAAAAAAAAAATTGTCAGTTAAACCTAACAGAGCAATACTCTGAGAAATTGAAATACGAATTTCTAGCTTACATTTTTAAGACAATAAGTCTGTGCATGTTCTGTCACAGTATTACATAAAATGAGAGAAAGCTAATGCTTTTGCTAGTTAAGAGTCAGAAGAAGCATGTATTCTTGAATTAGGAACTGCTTTAGGCTCCAAGGAGAAGAGTTTGCATCAATATTACTTGACACATCTTAGTGATCCTAGGAATTAGTACAGAAATTCTAGGAAAGAAGGAAACAAATCATTCTGTAATAGGCTTCCTTAATAGCAATTAGAGATGGAAAATAAATAATTCAAGTTGTAATGTCCTTTAGAGTTATGAATATATAACCATGTGTCTCATTGTAACATAAAGAGGAAGAAAAACATCTTATTGTACAGGATTTTTGAACTTTCTGTTTACATAAAGCGTAATCCCCTTGGGATAGCAGATAAGTTAAAAACTAGCATTCCTCTTGTGCCACTGAATTCCAATAAACTCACTAAGCTGGTACTGGCACCTACAAATCATGTACCTTACATGTTTGTTGGTAGATTTCAGTGTGGGGGAAGTAAGGCCAATGGCTGGATCTCAAGGAAGCACACAATACTTCTGTCTTCAGCAGCACAAGGTAGCTTGTAATGTGATTGTCCTTGTTTGTGTGTTCAGCCTAACCGCAGATGGGCTATCACCTGCACCCATCGAGCTGTTCACACAGTATTCCTTGTAACTTCTACTTGTTCTGCTTTCTTATTGGCACGCTATCTTATTATGTAGCTGAGAACTCTTTTTTTAAATAAAAAAAAAGTTTCACCTAGATTTATTTTTACCCAATAACTTGCCCAGTCTCCACTGGGTAAAGGCTTTATCTTCTCCTAGTCAAGGTGTGATTAGTTTTTGCTTGAGTCAGCAACTACAGGCTTCAGTGTATTAAAATTCCTCTCACATTTCCTGTTTCTTTCTTTTTTTTTTGAAGTAACAACTTTAAATGTTTGTAATGGTGGAAGAAATAATATTTCCTAAGTAATTTCCAAGTAGCTCAACTTGTAGGTAGTTTTTTGTACTGAGAATCTTCAACCAGATGGGTTAGTACAGTTCAGTAAGCTCAGGCATGCAAGCTGATATACTGACAAGGTCAGCAAATAAAGCAGGATGTGTACCTAAGTCCCTGTTAAGAGCTTGTATCATACCTTGCCTACACTAATTGTAACTGCAACCAATGTCGCTTCAGTTTGCAGCTATCGGTCCAACAACTGCTGAAGCCATGGAAGCAGCAGGAATCCCAGTAAGCTGTACTGCAGAGAGTCCAACTCCCCAAGACCTTGCTGCTGGGATCCAAAAAGCACTTCGCCTACAGAACTGCGTTTGTTCTAAGAACACAGCACATATTTCAAGCTGAGTGTGGTTCCTTAGAAGGCTCTTAATTTTGTAGACCTGTTATCCTACAAGAAATTGTTTGGGAATATGCAATGCTGTCCTTGTCAGCAGCTTGTGAGAGCAGCTCGCATCTAAATATCTAAGAAATCTAGAATTTGTCCAGCATGTTTTAAAGCCTCTGGCTATTCCCCTTCATCATGTGTGCAGTGTAAATATTTTGTGCAGGCATTCCTGGAAAACTAGCTGCAAGAGGCTAATCTGCATCAGTGTTATGTTGACATTTCAGGTTGAGTGTGTTACCTCAGGTATCTCCCCCTAGTACACAGGTTCTCATTCCTCTGCATAGTCAGTTTCATATGCACATCTATTTCTTTTGTAAAAGAAAATCATACAATGAAGTATATTCTATTTTAAAGTTTACTTGTTTTGTGCTTTCAAATATTTATATTAAAATGATTGTAGATCCTCACTGGAATAGGACAATTCCTGGAGTAAAGTTGCACTGTGTGGAGCTGATAGCAGGTCAGTTATTGACACTTAATATCCCTACAGTACAGGGTCTTAAAAATTAGGTTTTGATTTCTGTTTCTGTAAAGAAGGGGGATTTATTAACAGAAATAAACTGGCTTGTCATTGTTAATAATGGTGTTAGAGTTGTCTGATTTGGTTGCAGCTTATGCTTTAATTGTTTATCTGTGAAAGGAGAAAAAGTAATCCTATTTGGCATAGATGATACCTTCAGCCAATGCTATGAAATTCATAGAAGATTTAAATCATAATGCATTCAATTATAATCCTCATGAAAGTCACTTTTGTTGTTAGTGTAGTGCCAAGGTTCATAAAATAACAGAAATCCTTATTTGCTCTAAGTTTTTATTAGCTTAATTCTGAGTATATGACCTGAATTTCCAATTAGGTAAGAAGCTTTGTACCTAGGATAAGAGTTAATCTGAACCCAATTATGTTAATATAAACAGAAATAATTTCAAATTGTATACGTGGGTTCATCAGTCAGACTGGGCACAATAACACAACCATTTTGAAGCTTTATGAAGCAGTTTGGTTTCTTGAGATGAAATAGGATCTCAGAAGTATAGTAATTGCTGGAAGATAATGTTGAGCAGTGGGAGGAATATTTCATCATTAAAGAACATCCTGTAGGATTTAGGGATCGCTATGGTAACTGGATGGAGCTGCAGGACTCTGTGCAGACATGCCCCTGAGGAGAGAAGGAAGAGAATGAACAAGAAGCAATTGTTGACTTTCTCTGCCACTTTTTTAAGGACGATTGAAGTTAAGCTGTTTAACATTCAGATGCAGCTGGGTAGTGTCATTACAACATGGAGTGTGCAGAATTGTTCATCTCTGCATTCAAAAATAAATCCCCAGCAGACTGGGGATTTGGAAGTCAGTTCGAGTCCCCTGCAGTACTGCTCACATCTGTAGTGTTGAAACAAGACAGCTGGAGAAGATTTGTGTGAGCTAGTGCTTAGGGGCAGAAGGAGGAAAGGTAGGGTCAATCACAGAAGAGCAAGAACTGGAAACAAGGCATTCACTTGGGCTTGTGCTTCCTTGTATTATATGGTGAATACCTCTGGTATCTAAGTCATATCTAGTTATTTGCCTTGTTCATCAGCTCAGGCCCTTTCTACAGGTCTCTCCAGGAGATACAATCTGTTCCCATCATTTCTAAGTAAGACATACTTATCACATTTAATATAACACCATAAAAGAACAGCAAAGGCCTCTGACAGGAAAGGGGGTTGCCTTACATCTGCCTTGACCTATAACAGCAAACAAGATAATTTGGAAGACTTGATCTGAACTAGAGGAGGTTGATCTAAGGGGGGAGGCAAAGCTGGCATTTACTGAGGAAGTTGGAGGCTGTGCAAGCTTGCTGTGACTCAGCTGACATTGCTTTGCTACCCTCAGCTCTGATTGTCATGAACATGCTGCTCCTACCCCTCCTCACTGCCAGGCTGCCTGAGGATACCAATTTCAAGCACAGTGCTTTTAGGCATCTTGCCTCAGAAACCTGTTTACATGTAAACATTTAATATATTTTATTATATAATAATATTATATAAAATGTAAGCATTTGTTTAAATGACAAATACATTTCTACCATCCAAAATGAGCTCTACTTCTCATTTGCAAGAGAAAAAGATTAAGTAAAAGTAAACACACCCATAGAAAACCAAGAAGCCCAAGCAGCAAGCCTCCCTTCCTTGTTTCAAAAGAGCAGCTGCCCTCCCTGCACTGGACCTTCCTCCCTCACCAAGTCTTACCTGAAAGTCTGTTGAACAGTTTGCTTCTGACAAAAGCAAAAACGTCGCAACCAATGAAAACAAGGCACAAGGTTGCATAGGTTTATTTAATAAATAAGGATTTATTTAAAAATAAGCTTTTATTTATTCACAGTTTCAAGTCTGAAAAACATAATACTATTCTCCATCAAGTCAAAACGCAGCTAAAACCATTCGTTCCTGTTGTAAATGAAATACCACTGATGGCTAATATTTGCAAGGACCTTGCAAAGGTAGAAAGGCACCCATTTTTGTGCAGGACAGTCGCTGCAGTAAGAGAAACATGTCCACATATTCAACAGGAATCTCCTGGTACAACTTCAGCTCATGTTACTGGTTAAAGTGTTCCAATAAAGCTTTGCTTACAAAGTATATTTCATTAAATATCAAACCCGAGCAACTGTGAGATTACATTTTTATGCAAAATATTTGCCTCACTGCAAAGCCCATTACCTTTAAGAGAAAAATGTGCATTTCTCCAAGATAAGAAATTAAAGTTACCCAGAACTCCAACTTTGCATTTCAAACAACGAAATGCTAGTAACCGAACCATTGTGGAACTACCACAGGATAATAAGAATCTCCTGTTCTTTCCCAGGTGTACTATGTAACAACATAAGCAATATTCTTATCACCTTTGATAAATCCAAATATGAATCCAAATCCCACATGGGAAAAATTACCACTGATCCCACGCAGATGCAAGGCACTATTTCTGCTCATTTGCAGCACTTCAGTCACTGAACTCCTCCAGCAGCAGCTTCACTACTTTGTGTCAGCTGCTCCAGTAGATTTAGGATTACCTCTATCCGCTCCAGCAGAGTCATGCTTTTGTTAGCAGTTGCACGCAACAGAAGAGAGTAAACTTGCTTGTTGGTTTTAAGAGTTATTTCTTCTTCACTAATGGCCCTGAAAAGGAAACACATAAAAGCTATTAATCTGACCACAACATTTAATTCTACAAATTGGCAAGGCAATTATTACACGATAACCTTGATGATCATCTCTTTGAAACCCCATGGCTGGTGCTTGGGTTTGGGACTCCTATTTCCTTAGTTCTTACTTCCTGCCATTTCACAGCATTGCAGGCAGAACCTGTGCTTACACTGCAGGAGGGGTAAGGAGTTCCAGTTTTTCTTCAGCTCCAGTCTGGCCATTTTATTAAGTTACAATCCCAAAGCATGTTGTAAACCCTCCAGTCAATGTCTCTGTGCCAAACCTCTGTACTTTTGTCAGAGTTTGGCTAATCTGATCAGGCCAAATGCAAAGAGACACCTGAGCATTCATGAGATGCTATTTGCTCCTGTGCAGTTGCCTCCCATTTGCTCAGCCCTACAAACCACTACGGACATCAGCTTCCTGTTGAAGTCTGAAGCCCGTGATCTGGCCTCATTCTCTCAAGTTCCATACACCTAAATTACTTCCATGCGATAGAGACTTTTCCATGGCCAAAACCTTTACACAGAAGAGCTTTTCCCCTTTTCCCAGTCTGTCAGATCTCCCTTTAATATTTGTCAAAAGGAGAAAACTGATCTAAGTCACTTACACAAGTGCCAGCTACTGCTTCAGCAGTGTCACCCCACGTTTAACATCCAAGACTAATAACCCAAACAAGAAAAAAAAGCTACTACTGGTATTGCAATTAAATCAAGAGTGCATGCATGCAAGTAGCAGTCAGTTTAATTATAAATGCTTCCGGAATTAAAAATTTAATTTGCTTTATCTTTTTTTGTAACACTTGGCAGAAATCAGATTCATTTATTAAACAGAACAGGTAGTCAAAAACAATAAAAGCCACTGAAATGCAAAGTATTTCCAGGATAAGCTACAAGAATTCCCAGAACAAAGTATTAATTTCAATTACTTCTTTCCTCCAATTTACACAGCCAAGTTCAGTTATGCTTATGCATTTAACTTCTAGAAGGTAAGACTGATTTCATTCAGTTTTATTGCTAGTCTGCAAGTTTCACTATCAAACAGCTTTACCACATGTTCTGCTCTCTGCCAGAATGCATCCAAGACTCTGAAATAGCATTCGTGAACTCTAATTTCCTCCCTTTTCAGCTTGCCCATTATTAAAACCCAAGACAGACATCATTTTCTCCTTCTGTAAAGCTGAACTAAGGAAGCATATGGAAAGCCTACACAAGGCACTAGAAAGGTTAAATAAAAAGGTAATTTTAAGCTGAGCCTCAATCCACTGCTGTTTCAAGAAGTTTAAGACCAACACTCCCATTTCATGATGCTCGACTTCAAACTGCAACCTGTTCCCTAGGTGAAACCTTCAGTACAAAGCCTCATTCAAGAGAGATTCAGTGGTAAGAAGTAAACAGAGATGAGTTTACACAACACTTGGCCAGGTCGTGAAACCACAGAAGCAGTTTATTCAGTTACCTGCGACATCTACTTGGCTACGTACAGGTTATACTTCAATCCTCTGCTTTTCACATATTCAGATTGCCACCTTGTGGAAACTCTTTTCTCTGAGTGAATGCACCTCAGCCACCACTAAAAGAGCATGCAGGCTTTCTTCTAGTCTCTTGTTTTTCTATTTGTCTCCTATCAGCAAACAACTTACTGCGCAAGATGAATTCATCTCACAATTTACTGCATCAGAGTAACACTTAACATCAGCAGCATTTCAACGTGATGAATGATTAACAACTTCAAACTTCATCTAGTAGAAGAAACAACAACTGCAGATTGCAGAAGCTACAGCAACATAACACATTTGCTGCTGACGGGATAAAAGGTGCTCTCAGGATCCCCAAAGCAGAAACACACACATTCAAACCTAACCAACTGAAGCAATAATGATACAACAAATTACACTGCCACACCTGATCACAGCAACACTTCAAGGTCAACACAAAGAAGATAAGCCTTGTGTGGCCGTGTGTGCTCTGAACTCCAGCAGCCAGACTGAAGATTGTTTCTTCTTGCACTCCATTAGGCATTAGAAAGATAACGACGAGCATTTTCCCCACATACATCCTTCTGCTTACAGCACTACTGATGCACCTATGTTTATTCTGAAGCGTTCAGAATGTTCAGCATGTGCCCAGCAATGTTGTCACTGGTACATTTTATCATCAAAATCTACCTAAAGGTAAGTAGTACACAGCAGCTTCTCCCCTCACTAACCTTGAGGTATCCTGCCACAGATGAACACCAAATCAGTAAGACAAAGGACCCATTATAGATGTACTCAACACACTGAGCAAACACTTCTATTTACAATAAATAGAGTCAAGACAGTGAGAAGTATGCCAGCAGCTTACAGCAGTACAAGTTAAACTGCTTTTTATCTCCATTTACACCTATGAACAGCAAGAGATTTATATCCTACGAAGGATAAGCTAGGTGCTTTATGCTCTCTGATACCTGCGATTTGTAACTGTATTGAGATTTTTATACAAAGAAAAAAATTACAACTTATTTTCTTGAATAGAGGCCATTCAGGCTAATGGTTTTTTTAGTCTGCTCTCACTCCTGGACTCCTATCAGGAAAGGAGAGAAAAAACTGCTGAGCCTAGGCACACACAGTGAAGGTGTTTCTTGGTCATACCCTCAGTTACACACAAACAAGAAACGTT